TTGCCCTTGCCACTTGTCCTCGTCTCCAACATGGGCTTGCTTTAGTCACACCACTTGCCCACTTGCCTGCACCACTTGACCACTTGCCAACCTTCGAGAAGGACTGCAGCTAGCCTTCTAATCTACAGGTCTACGGATCGAATCCTGGCTACCTATAGACCTACGACAGACCTACCTACCACTGGCGGTTCTACAGGTCGCAGGTTCAACTCTACGAGTTGACGCAGGTATTGTACACAGGTCAGTTGGGGAACTAGGGATCGAGCCCTGGGATCTGCCTCAGCTACCACGAATTGGTGAATACCGTTTCAATCATCACTACCATCATCAATATTAATATCATCTGAAAACACCTTTAGTCTCAGGGTACCATTTTCGACTACCCAATTATCCAATAGTCATTAATATTTACATCCTGATTAGCTATATTTTGATTGCCTACATCTAGGTTACCTATATCTGGATTACCTATATCCCGATTACTCACTTCTGGATTACTTACTTCTTGATTACTACTATTTGTAGTAGTAATTTCAGACATAACGTTTTCATGTTGGGATTGTTTAGTAATTTCACCACTAGGTTTTGCCCTGCCTGTTCCCCCTGATTGGGGTAAGGTGAATTTTCTTTATTTCGTTTTTTCATGAGTTTTTTTTCCTAATTGGGGATTTTGATCATTGAATTTTGCAGACGCTTTAGTGGGGATAGGACTTCGGAGGTTATGGCTGGAACTTTGGTAGGCAGGGTTTTTTTTAGACTCCAGGGTACAGACATACGGTAGTTACCCACAGCAGGTCTGAGATCCGKCTGGCCTAAGTTAGGGGACAAGCCAGGGGAAGGATGGTAGGGCTGTCAGCCTGGGCTCCGCCTGGCCTTGGGTAAGCTAGGGGAAGGAGAGATAGGGCTGGCCAATTGTGGGTATAGACTACTAGTTAGCTGTCCCCAAAAAATTAACCCAGGGGTCTGTTATAGGGGAGCCTTATTCTACAGGGGTGTTGCATGGTGGGAGGCAGTAGCCCTATTGGGAGTAGGGCAGATTGGGGATTGTCTGACTCTGGGGCCGGGGTTGGAGAGTAGGTCGCCTTCAACCCCAGCGGGGGCAGACAGGGACAAGGGGTGGGCAAAGGCAGCTTCTAGGGGCCGAGGGATTTTCCTCGGTGGAGGCAGCATGAGACAGGGTACAGTGGGTATGGATTGGTTTGAGCTGTGACCAATGGAAGCGTATCCTTTTCATGATCTAATAAACTCAATTTGTCAAAAAAGATCTGATAATTTCGATACAGTTCAATACTTCAAAACCAGCCATCCGCTGCTTTACAATCTTGGCAGCACCTGGTCTTCTTCTTTAATTAGGATATAGGAATTCAGGGATTGTCGAACCTAGAAAAAATAACTGCCGAAGTTGCTTTGTTCTGTGCTCCTGGATTGCCGATGCCAGAACAACGCTGGCCGGAGCTGGGGCATAGCCCTGTAACCTGCAATTGGCAGGGGTGGGAGGCCTTGTAGAGAGATCTGGGGTTTGCTGAGGGAGGAAAGCAAGCCAATGGTGAACCAGGGGGGGCTACCTTGACAACTTATGGGGTGGGGTTAGTCTGGGTAGTGAGAAGAGATCAGCTATGGCAGTGGGGGGATAGGTTTGTCTTGTTCCTGAGTTGCAATATCCTGGTAAGGGTGGGCTTGGAGTTGTTCAGGATTAGGAGTCCAGTACGGCTGACTTAGCATGAGTAGCTATATTCTTTGGTTATCATCACTGGCATCATTAGTATCATCAGCATTAGAATTTTCGAAGGTTTCTGATTTCGTAAGTGCTTGAAGCACTCTTTTCTCAGTTTTTTCTCAGCTGAAGCCGGGTAATGGCCCCGGTGTTACAAACTGATGTATGTTCATATGGGACGCTGGGCCCGGTTCCCAGCACGTGCTGCTCCCCACGAATAGACTGGAGCTTAAAAAAAGAAAAAAAGAAAAAAAAAGAAGGGCTAATGAGAGGGCAGGACTATCGATGGAATGACGGACGGTTGGAAAAACGAAAGATCGATGGTAGTGGGATTTGGATGGCCGTGCCCCTATGTTCCCCCCTGGCCGTGGCCGAGTTCGGTCGTAGCCGCTCCGGCCGAGAACTTTCGGCCGCGGCCATGGCCGATCGGGGAGGGGGGTTTAAGCGGGGGGTGGGTTTCGAGTCGGG